AGCTTGTCAAAGTCTGGAGAAGGTTGGATTAGGTACCAACGATGCAAAATGTGGGGCTACACAGAATGTGCCGTGTAAACAAACGAGTCAAGCAGTTCCTATGTGATATTTGTCATAACCCAGACGTGTTTCGAGACCACCTGTTAACAATACCGATCAAACTGCAGGTCCGTCCGGCGATACTGATCAAACTGGAGATCCGGCCAAAAAACAACAATTCTACTTTCAATGCTTTCTCCATTTCCAAAAAAAAACAAGAAACATCTACAGGAAAAAAGAAGAACGCAGGAGTCTGGCGAGTTAACGAGCACTCCAAAAATAGAAAAAATTAAGGCGAAGTACGAAAATAAAATTGAGACAGAAAGAAGAAGGTCAGAAGGGAAAAGGGTTACACGAAATCTTGTAAAAAGTGCCAGTGAAGAAGAAACGGAGGCTTTACAGGAAATGGAAGAAGATGATGAAGATGATGCTTACTGCATATATTGCAACGAATTATATAGCTTGTCAAAGTCTGGAGAAGGTTGGATTAGGTACCAACGATGCAAAATGTGGGGCTACACAGAATGTGCCGGTGTAAACAAACGAGTCAAGCAGTTCCTATGTGATATTTGTCAAAGTTAAACTATGATCGTTGCTATCACACATCATACTATCTAACTCTCATTGTCTTTAACAATGTTAGGCAACTACTAATGTTTTCATTTATTATTTACTTTATTTTTAGAATAAAATTAAGTTTTCTGTGGCGTTTATTTAAGTTTATCTACATTTATAATGGGTATGTCGTTTTATCTAACCTATTTTGTATTGACTAAAAAAGTAACTTTTTGTAAAAAACGGTATTTTTTATAGATAGCTTTTTTTAATAAGAATAAAAACTGCTATCCAATGTTAAACATTTCAATATATTAGATGCCGAAATTAGTGTAGGAATTTAATTTTTTAGGACGGAATTTTTGCCTAAAATAATTTGGGTATATCTTTTTAGGACAGTCTCTCCTATTAGTATAAACATTTTTTTCCGATTTAGCTGAAATTTTGAATGCGCGTATAAGTAATTTAAAAAAAAATGAAGAAACACATTACTAACAATTGTATTAATCAATAATAAAAATGTAAAAATATGTAAAAAGTAAAAATAAATATGTAAGAATTAAAAAAAAACAATTAAAAAAGTCGCATTGACTAGGATTCGAACCTGCCTTACTACGGCTCCAACGTCATAGTAGCGTAAAGTCCTAACGCTTTAACCACTCGGCCACCGAGGACTTGAAAGATTCTATGTAAAATTCTTACTTAAAAGATAATGTTTAGTGAAAGTACTTTTTTATATATAAACATTTATTTAATTCGGTTTTTAGGATTTGTTCTTATAGGGGCAACATAAATACATTATCTGTAAAAATTTCAACTGTCTAGCTATAACGGTTCATAAGATAGACCTTTGTGACAGACGAACAGACGGACAGCGAAGTCTTATTAATAGGGTTCCCGTTTTTACCCTTTGGGTACGGAACTCTAAAAATGAAGTTATTGAGATGAATCATAAAACAAACTATCGGGAAAAGACGATAAAATCATTTTTAAATTCCTTGCTTTGTTAATATATTCCACATCAACATTTTGTTTTCCTCCGTATAATTGAGAGATGGAAATTTTCATTTTTAATTTATAAAGAGACACTAGAAAGTCAAACAATTTAGCTACAAATTGCTTAAAAAATGATCAAAATCGGCCCACTAGAACAAAATATATTAAACTTTAAAATACATCAATATTTTAAGGTGCCCGTTTCTCGTGCCGTGTGAGTGTACCGTGCTGGCAACTGTTACACTTGGGTCGGTATTTACATGTGTGGAAGTAAATCGCATAGGGATCTTATTAAGTCGGAGTGAGAGAAATGCGACGGAGTGCTGTTGCGGCGTTGCCGGTACGCCTTTCCCTATCAAGTAAAGAAAATCACGATCGTAAACCGCTTTTTTTAAAAGACTTTTTTTCGAAAAGATAACTAGATAAAATCATTAGAAATGTTTCTGAGTATCTGAAATGGAATTATAAGGATATCTTTAGGGTGTCATTTTTTTATAACGAGAAAACGTCAGTAATCGCGATAGTTTAGAAACTCAACTTTTTAACACATAACACGCCATAACTCATAAACACTTTAGATATTGAAACTTTTTTTTTATTTTGAAGACAGGATCTTTTACAATATGTTAACATAAGAAAAATTCGATAAGGTTGTTTTTTTATTCATTCAAAAATTGTAAACAACACATCTATTTACTTTTAGAGCATAGCAATTTTCAGCAGTCAATTTTTTTATTGATAAAGATTTTCACTTACTGTCTACGAGAAAATACAGCAGAAATATTAAGAAAGTTTTGAAAAAACTAACCTAACCAACTCAATTCCACTTATTTTTACCAAAAATGCAAGTGTTTCTAGCTTGCACTTAAATTTTGACGACTTTAAAAACGACTCGTTAATAAATAAACAAAATATCACGAGACGTAATTAAATCGTGAAGCTGAACGCATGATGTACACCTTTCCCTAGAACTTTAAGTACTGACTGAGGTACTGATTGGGTCGACCGGTCAACAGCGACAAATCTGCTATATCCCCTTCCACGTCTTTTAGCAATGTGCACAGTTTCTCGATTCATTTCATACGTTTTTACGCAACGTGTTTACTGTTCTCTCTTTGTTCAGTACATTATAAACGCATTGTACTCTTCTTACATACGGAAATCTCGACCCAAGACTAACCTTTGCCAGCCCTTGGTATAAAGAATACATAAAAATATATTCACTAAATCATGAAAACACCAAATGCTATGTTCTGCGCCACTGGATTTGTATTTTTGTAGCTTTGGTCATTTATGTTTATCACAATATCCGTGCATGCATGTAGAAAAAAGAAAAAAGAAAATAGTAACGCTTTCTATACTTCTTGTAAACTTCACACACGCGAAAGCCCTTGTTAGGTTTATATTCCTTGCATGTGAGCCTTATCTATTGTTCTCATCTTATAATGAAGGAGCTTTAGGTTTTTAGATAGATTAAGAGAAATCAATTTATTTCACAGTTGTACAGGTGAAGTAACTATACACTTTTAATCTATTTTCCGAGATTAGCCATGGCTTTGCATGTTTCCAAACACGAGTAATTTAAATTTTTGTGTTCAAATAGTACACTGTTAACCGAGAAAATATGTCATGTAAATATGAATTGAACTTATTTTATTCTTGTAAAGACAATCCGGGGCTTACTATAGATATAGAAATTTAAAATATCATTTTCTTTAAGCAAACATGTCAAAAGTTGACACATGGGATTATACAGGGTGGTCCGAACTGTATTTCGTAAACTTCGGCAGCATATTTTGCAGCTAAAAAGAAGTAAAAAAGTTCGTAAAAAGTGTATGTTCTAAAATGCTTAGTTTCGGAGATACAGCGTGTAGTTTCATTTTTATTTCGATTTTTTCCAGATAATTTCTGAAGTAACGTCAATATTTGGATGAAAATTGGTGTCTGGGAGTTTTTTGACATGAGAAACTTGATTTTTATTACACATGTTTAATTTATGTCAGTCATGACAGGTTTTGATAATTTCGATTCCAAATATCTCGAGAACCATTACTCGTAGCGATTTTTTCTAAGAGATTTTTTTTACGTAAAAAACGTCGTAAATGTATACGTTTTTACTCAGTAGTTTTATACAGGTACGGACGAAAAATTATAATTTTTCGTCCGTAATAATTATTACTCTTCAAACCAGTTAAAAAATATGTAGGTGGCGCCCTCTACAAGTAAGAGTCCTATTGACATCAAAATCAAATTTCTCATGTCAAAAAACACCCATCCACCAATTTTCATCCAAATATTGACTTTACTTCAGAAATTATTTGGAAAAAATGGAAATAAGAATAAAACTTCTACACCCTGTATCTCCGAAACTAAGCATTTTAGGACATACATTTATAGGAACTTTTTTACTTATTTTTATCTTCAGAATATGCTGCCAAAGTTTCCGGAATATAGTTCGGACCACCCTGTATAATAAGAAAGAGAAAAGTTATTTATAAAATATATGTAAAACATCAAAAAGCTAATATATTCTAATTTGTGATACATCCAAACTTATTTAGTTCAAAAAATAATTCGTCAAATGCCGATATGATTCAAATTTATTGGACCTGCCTTAAATTATCTATTTTACAACATATAAAAAGGATAATTTTCATCAAAATTGACTACGTTTATTGTTGCAATGATTACAATTTTAATTAAGATATTTTAAGAGTCATATTGACATCAAAATCCCAAATTTCTCATGTCAAAAAATACCCATCCACCAATTTTCATCCAAATATTCAGGTTACTTCAGAAATTATTTGGAAAAAATCGAAATAAAAATGAAACTTCTACACCCCGTATCACCAAAACTAAGCATTTTAGAACATATATTTATACGAACTTTTTTACTTCTTTTTATCTGCAGAATATGCTGCCGAAGTTTCCGGAACACAGTTCGGACCACCCTGTATAAAAATATCGAGGGTACCATTTAAAAATCAAATGTTCAGTCATTTCTGGTGAAACAGAAAGAGACTGAAAATAACTGAATATGTCAATCAATTCTGTTTTATATCATATACCAACATACCAACGGTTTTTGTTTGAAAAAGTATAAAAGTTATAGGGATGAGCCACTTGTGAAAAACACCCGGTATTAAACCATACAAGGGAATCTTTAACATCCCAACTTTTTGGAACTGATTGAGTTACACCCTGTATGTAATAAACGTTAAGAAAACATGAGCGTTATCGGTTGTAAATCCCTGCAAAATCTCTTCAACCTATAGTTGTAAAAAATAAATTTAAAAAACAACATATATCTCTCTGTAGAAAGAAATGTGTACAATCAGAAAAAATCTTAACTTTACTAGTTCATATGTTTTTGATATTTCATATATCCAGTATCCGTTCATCTGTGGTACGAGTATGGTTGTGGTGGATGTTGATCCAAAAAATGCTGTAGAGTACTCTTGAAAATACAACATCAGTGTTTAAATTAGTTCCACGCCACGTAAGTACAACTCTCTAATAACAAACAAAAAATACTCAAGTAAATCCATGTTAGGACCTGTATTGCAAACATCTGAATTATTATAGAGTTTTAAGTGGACTTCAAACACACGAAACTCACAAATAAACATAAATAAGTATTAATTTTTATCGAGTTCTATAAAGTTACTTAAACTTCCTTATGTTCAAAATTTTGACCTAGAAATTAAACAATAAGTTTTGCAACATTTTAGTTCGACTATAACTGATTTTTCGTATATGAACCTACAGGAAATTTTTAATGGACTGAACAGTTAGAAAAAAAAATTAATATGAAAATTGCATGTGTATAAATGGCACATTTTAGAGACACTTAAATACAAAAATGTTGAAGAAAATATGATTTTTTTTGACAATATTTATACATAGGGGTGACTGAAGTCATAGATTTTGGATTGGCTATAACTCAGTAATTTTGTGAAAAAAACATAATATTATAGCAATATATCGCTGAAAAGCTTAAAATGACGCTTTTTATGAAGTCAGCGGCCAACTATGGTTTCCATTATTTAAAAACATATATTTTGTCATATGCCAAAAATGACAGGCTTTGACCGCTATAACTTTTTTATTTTTTTTAGATAAAAACGAGATTTCGTATGTTAGTACCCGTATGATCGAAAAACGGCGTCCAGTTGGCTGGGAAATGACGATCGATGACATTTCCCTTATAAATCCCATTATAAAATGACAGCGATCTTCATTTCATAGCCATCGCTGACGCCATTTATTTTCGATCATACGGTATATGACATAAATTAGTATTGATTGACGTATTCAATTGTTTTCGGTTACTTCCTGTTTCACCAGAAATTACTACAACTTTTGATTTTTAAATGGCACCCTTTGTATATTTTACTACATTCGATAGAAAATGAGTCTGAATAGAATGGCATATCATGTGTCAACTTTTTGACATTTTCGCATAGGGGTTTATTCGAAATAACAAGTAATATGCGAACATAACGAAATTTTTATTCGAGAAATATCAACTGTGTTATACCAAATTATTCGTAAAAAATGCTTTTTTCAAATATGCTAATGAGCCACCTTCGTTCCATTTGAAAAATTGAGATATATGATTAAAAAATACGATTTAGGCATCTTTTAACCGTCCAGGACAAGACACTAAAAAACATTAGACGATCAAATCTATTTTTCCAAGGCTCTTTGATTAAAAGTTAACGTTTTAATACGGCCATGGCACTTTAGATTGAAATTTAAAATACAATTTTTTTAAGTAAGAATCGTTGACATATGATATTCCATTCTATTCAGAGTGTAATTTTCTATCGAATAAAGTAAAGAAATACCGAGGGTGCCATTTAAAATCAAAAAGTTGTAGTAATTTCCGGCAGAAACAGGAAGTGACAGATAACAATTATTGAAATACGTCAATCAATCACTAATTTATGTGTCATATACTAACTGACTCAAATATCTTTTTTTTTTTTTTATCTGAAAAAATGAAAAGTGCTATAGGGTGAGCCACTTTTTGTAGTCACCCACTGAAAATAAATACAAAAAAAATTCACGGCCTCCTGGATTAGAAGAAAATTTTATGTAAATTTTCACAAAATCTTACACTAAGAGACCAGTATTGTCCTGTTTATGTTTGATATTTTTACTCGTAGTACTGTTTGACTATGAAAAAATAAATTTACTTGTTTTTAAAATTACATTATTACCCCCATAAAAATTTAGAAAATCCCAGAATTATCAAATTCTGTTGTAATAAAATGCAATAACAGCAAAGTATATTTTGACATTAGAAGTTAAACCTCGTGTTCAACTTCTACCAGCAACCTGATATCGTTCGAAAACAATCTGCCGCCAAATAGCTCACATACACATATAAATCAGCTCTCGCTGTCTCTTTGCTTTAATTTTTACCCATTACGCGTTTCTTGTTTCGGTCTCCCTCGTTAGGGTAGTTTGGGGCCCCCCTTTGGGAACCCGCCACGTTGCACAGATCCTCTCTCTTCACCCTAAATATTTTCGTACGTGCCTCGTCCAATATGTCACATACGCACGCGAAGACCAGCTTTGCATGCTCGCCTTGGGCCATTCTACTAGAAAAGTCATTACGTCTCTTTCTACGTTTTCTTTGTCAAGTTTTGTAATGCTGTCTATGTAAATCATCTATCAGCTCAAGAAAACACTAAAATTCAAACATATATATCTGTATAACCTTGTTTAAAGTTTATTATTATTGAGTATATCCCCAGATCGTCTTTACAGAAGAAAAGCTTTTTCGTTTTTTCTCATTTTGAGAAAAAAACAAATTTTATAAAATATTTCCTTGCTCTAAAATAACTAATCTCGTTTATACATTTCTTAAAAATCAAAACGCGTTTCTATGGTAATATTATTTTGTTTTCATTTTTTGATAGATGGCTATTATTAATTTTATGGTAATGCCACAACAGGGACGCGCATATGGGTTATCACTGAATATTTTTCTAAAAAGCATTTACGCCACTGACTTTTCTTCTCATGTTAGCGAAATAGTTTAGGCAGTTTTAATGCCCATTACAAGTTGTCTCTTGATATTTGTCGATTTCTGATGAGGTGTAAACGCAATTTTGGTTAATTTTACCTTGATCCAAGTCTAGTAGATAACCTTTTAAAAATGTTAATATCATTAACTTGCGAAATTTTTAAATAAAGTACTCATTGATTCCCATCAAAATATAAAAAAGTTAGTACTCAAACATGGGTATGGAAATGCATAGTTTAGAGTTAGAGAATGTTAAAAATTTTTACAGATAGGTTTTTTTTGTAATTATCTTACCATTATTTTTTATTTGAAATTGCTGTAGGTTGAATTAATAGTAATAATAACTAATAATAATAATAATAATAATTAATAGTGACATTAATATAATATATTTATTCTTAATACAATATTTAAGAAATTGGCACTTCAATCAAGTTTTTTGCCTCTGGACCCTTCAAATGTAAAAACCTTTTCTTTATTAATAATTCACAAATTTTTAAATCAATTACATAAGTATTGAAATATTTTGAGAAAACTAGAAATATACCTTAGTAGAAAAGGACATTCTCCGAGAATGTATCGTGTACATTCGTGACTAACGTATGGCTTCCGTACTTCAAATTTAATAGAAATTTTGATCGTTTAATTGTTTACATGATTTGTGTGATGGCCATAAGGGTCATTAGACGTTTCCATGTTATACGTTCATTTTTATTTTCATCCGAAATAACTCAATTTTAGTTTTCGTGTATTATGAATTCACAGAATTATGCTATATGCCTGACTATATTATTTGTATTCTTTAAGAATGCAATAAGGAAAATTATAAACAATTTCATTTCAGATATTTTTTATTCTTAATACAATGTATAAAGAGGAAACCAGATGAATGCGTTTTAATCAATAATTTTCTTTATTACGCAAAAAACTGGTACTAACTGAAAACATAAATGACTTCAGATGGATATAAACAATTTGATGCTTTATGCTATTACTCTCTCCTATTAGTGGTTTGATATTATTAGATTAGATACATGGTGGCTCACTGTCCCGAAAATGATCCATATCAGATTCACTACATTTGAGATTTTCACTCTCATCTTTTTTACTTCATTATATGCCTGTTTATGGCAGCATCTCTCTTATACCGTATGATCGAGAAAAAACGGCGTCCAGTTGGCTTGGAAATGACGATCAATGACATTTTCCATATAATTTTACATGTAAACTGATAGCGATCTTCATTTCGTAGCCATCGCTGACGCGGTTTTTTTTCTCGATCATATTGTATATCTTATTATACAGTATTTCCTCGGATAGTTTTTACAACAGGATTTTTTTTTTAAATATAATTATTCTGATTTCAATCGATGATGCTTATTATTAATTATTTTTTAATTTCCTCCAAAACAATATGGAAGTTTGGATAAGTATAAACGGGATTAACCATTTTAGAAAAAGCAATATAATTTTTCAGTTGAAGGATTATTGAATATAAATGATTGTACTGATGCATCAGTTGGAAATAGAAATTTAAACAAAAAAATTAGTTAATAAACTTGGATTCTGAATAGAAAAAATATTTTGATAAAAAAAATTAAGTTGATAAAATAAAGTTGATAAAAAGTATCCATTTAACTTACTAAAATATATAAGTGTTTTATTCAAATATTGTAGAAATAATATATTACGTTGTTTTACATCATTCTGTGTATACCATCAACGTATAAGGTAATATTCTATTCATACCTTCATAATCGAAAAAAAAATGATCAGAGATCGTTTGGGAAATGAACATAACTGTTCAACATTTGTATGTAAAATTCTACTTACATATATGCTGTATGTCATCAGGTCGTCAGTTCCAATGCAACTAGACGTCATTTTTTCGACCATACTGTATAATTCTGTTTCAAAATAACATATGATCGGAGAAAACGGCCTTTAAATTGTAATGGCATATAATTTTACATTATAAAATGTCTATACCTATGTCACAAATTTGTGCCTATGTGGTGGATTCATCTCTCTCCAAAAATCCTCTATGGGTATTTCCGGCACTGCACTGCAAGAAAAATCTACAAAATAAAATAGTTATTTTTTGTAAACACTTCTGGGCGTCAAACCTAAACGGACACTGCTTGTCAGAAGTTATGTTTACAGTAATAAAAATTTGCCTAACAAAGAAAAAATGCTTAACGTTTCCGGAAAGTTTATCTCTTCCGTCTGTCGGAAGCAAAAAAAATACAAAGAATAAAGAAAAAAACTATTTAAAATATTTAAATTCAACTCTTTGAGAACACTTTGCTTTTTTTAAAACAGATACGTCTACAAGAAACCGTTGACGTTCTGTTAAAATGACATTATGTCAAGTTAAACTTCAAAATTAACAATTACTACCTGATGACAATTATTTAATAAAGTAAAACCAAAAAACATAAAACTTTCTGTATGATTATTTT